GTAAAACCTTTTACCATCAGACTTAGTGTTCCCAGTGACCTCACCCTCATACTCCTTTTTCTCACTCTTAATGAGCTTTTTAGGTTTTTTTTGCTGGTTTCTAAAATTCTCCCAATCTTCAGATTTGCTGCTTTTCTTGGCAGTTTTATAAGCCTTTTCTTTTAATTTGATGCTTTCCCTACTGCTCCAGTTAGCCACGGATGACTTGCTTTCCCTGTAGTACTCTTATTCCGCAAGGGAATAGGCAATCGCTAAGAATTATGCACTACATCCTTAAATATTTGCCACTGTTGGTCTACATTTTTACCTCTTAATCTTATTCTCCAGTCTATTTTACCTAAATCTTTCCTCATACCTACAAAATTAGCCTTATTTAAATTCAGCTCTTCTAATTCCCTTCTCAAGTCATCTTGGCCGACTCTACCGATGTCATTGGTACTGATGTGAAGTACCACCAACGGATCCTTCCCTCTCGCCCTGTCGAGACCTCCTTCACCCCGGCCCCAGGGAGCCTTCGGGTCTTCTGGTTGGTGTTTCAGATGATTGGTCTGTCTGCCTAATAGTCTCATCCCCAATGACGACAACCATCCGCTCTTTTGCCCCAGTGTCAGAGGTAGTTTTTCCTGCCCCCTCACCGGCTTCTTTGTCGATACAAGTTCCAAGGATCTCATACGTGTTGTTCAAGGTTAATGCCGGATTTACTACCACTCTTTCCGTTGTCCCCCGACCTCCTGACTGTCCGTTGACCTATCCTGACCATAATCAATGTTGAGCGTATATTCCCTCAGGGGAGTGACTGGCTCCAGGATGTCGCTATCCAGGAAGCACTCACTGTCCGATACTCCGCAGTGTCTGCACCTCGGACTCCAGCTCCGCCACTCTGACACTCTGAGCCACTCCGACACTCTGAGCCACTCTGACACTCTGAGCCACTCTGACACTCTGAGCCACTCTGACACTCTGAGCCACTCTGACACTCTGAGCCACTCTGACACTCTGAGCCACTCTGAGACACTCTGACACTCTGAGCCACTCTGACACTCTGAGACACTCTGAGCCACTCTGACACTCTGAGACACTCTGAGCTGGAGCTGCCTCAGTTGCAGACATCTTCTGCAGATGTGGCCGCCCGGGGTCAGACTGCCCTCCGTCAGCTCCCACATGACACACTCCTCACATAACACCTGCCAGACCATTGTTTGTGGGGATGTCGCTGGACGCAATTGGCTGCCGCGTTTGGCCCACAAAACACCCACAGTCACTACACTCTACAGTGTATTCCGTGGAGCCCACATTTAAGAAATATTTCTTTACCAAGTGGGTAATTAATGAGGGAAACAGGTCAAAAAGGCCGTGTCCATCGGCGCTGGGTCAAATGCCAGGATTATGATTATATGGGGTGACTAAACAGTCAGGGTACCATGGGCTCGATTCCTGGGGGGGTGGGGGGGGGATCAGGTTAGATAAGGGCAAAATCTTAGGCAAGTCTCTCACTCCACACGCCTCTGTTTACGTAGCAGTTGGTCAATCAATCCACGGCTGTTTGTGGGGACGTCGCTGGGCGCAATTGGCTGCCGCGTTTGGCCCACAAAACACCCAGTCACTACACTTTACAGTGTATTCCGTGAAGCGCTCCTCCCCCCCCCCCCCCCCCCCGCCCGCCCCTCACCTCTCATCTCCTGTTGCTGCTCATAATCGCCCGGGTTTCATTGCTGAGTGACCCCACGCTGTCAGTTGAGCGCTGGTCTGTTGTGTTGTGTTGTGTTGTGTTGTGCTGTGTTGTGTGTTGACGTGTGAGTTTGATACCGTTATGATTTATGGCGTTTCTCCTTTTCCTGACCCAGTTATCGTGATCACACTAAGCCCTGCCCCTGCCCCAACCCAGCGAGCAGGTACCAGATCTGATTATTTTATCATTCGCACCTACTGACATCTCTTTCTTTTCTCCCCTTTTTTTGCCACTTGCTGCTGTGTGTTCCTCTGACTCGACTGTTCCCACCTTACCATTCTCTCGCTCTATCTCTCGCTCTATCTCTCGCGCTCTATCTCTCGCGCTCTATCTCTCGCTCTATCCCTCTCCCCTCTCTCTCGTCTCTCTCTCTCTCTCTCTCGCTCTCTCTACCTCCCTCTCTTTCACCATCTCTCGTTTAACCGCTCTCTGTCTCTCTGCAGTTAACACTTCTCTCTTTCATTGGTTCACCATTCTCTCTATTATTTCATCTCATCTTCCCCCCCGTTTCTCCCTCCCTACCTCCAAACCCCCCCCCCCCCCCCCCACTCTCCACCCGTACATCTCTATTGGCTTTCTTTCCATTTTCATTTCATCCTTTCACTCTTGTGTGTGTATTTTTTGAGATGCGTGTGTGTCTGTCTCTCCTTTAACCATCCCATCGCACCACCTTTCACTCTGTGGGTTCACCTGCTTCCTTCCCTCCCTCTTCCCGTTGTTCTGGATGTAATGGCCATTTGAGCAAACACTGGAGAGAGAGAGACTTGGCCTCTGGCTGACGCATGACACCTGTAGCCCTGTTGGAGAGAAATGGCTGCTTTTTTTATGCATGGTTTGAGCATGGCGTGCCGGGGGAGTCAGCATGAGTTACCGTCTCCTCCGAAACGCAGGGAAAGATTTGTGCGAGTTTATGAACGGATCGCCCTATTTTCTAGCTGCAGTGCTGGAGGAGATCAAGTCTCCACATTCCCTCCCTCCCTCCTTCCCCACCGCCCACCCTCTCTCTCTCTCTCTCCCTCCCCACCTCCCTCCCTCCCTCCCTCCCTCTCTCTCACTCCCCCTCTCCCTCTCTCTCCCTCCCTCCCTCCCCCCTCCCTCTCTCCTCCCTCCCTCCCTCCCCCCTCCCTCTCTCCCTCCTCCTCCCTCCCTCCCCCCTCCCTCTCTCTCTCTCTCTCTCCCTCCCTCTCTCTCTCTCTCTCCCTCCCCCCTCCCTCGCTCCCTCTCTCTCACTCCCTCTCTCCCTCCCTCCCTCCCTCGCTCCGCCCCAGGCTGGCTTCACGGCCAGATACATTGCACGAAACTCCGGCTAAATTGGCTCTCGGAGCCCGAGTTCCTCACCATCCGATGAGGGTGTGGCTGAGGTGTCTAAACCAGCAGCCAGCACTAGAAACCAGGCGCGAGCCAGCCTCGCACACGTGCGCTCGCTGCCGGGTGTGTGACGGTGTTTGGTGTTGAGTTTGATGTTTTTTCAGCTTCACAGCGAGGACCCGGGAGATTTGCCTTGTCGCTGATTTGTTATTGGTTGTAAAACGCCACCAAGAACTGTCAACCGTCGGCCAGAGAGTTGGTGCCATCTCCCCTCCAGGCCCTGGGACTCCCTCTGGCCTGGCCTGTGTCAGACAAACTCGGGCATATTCCCCTGACTGTAGAACTGCCCTTTGATATCTCTCTCCCCAACTGTTATATTACTGGCCAGTGGTGTATGTCTCTCTGTCTGTCTGTCTGTCTGTCACATTGCATTCACCCTCTCTTCTCTCACACACACTCACCGTCTCTCTCACACACTCACTCTCACTATCTGTCTCACTCGCTGTCTGTCTCTCACACACACTATCTCTCATACCGTCTCTCTCTCACACACACTCTCTCTGTCTCTGTCTCTCTCTCTCACACACTCTCTGTGTCTCTCGGTGCTGGCCCCAGGTCCCCACACAACCTGACTCCCTCCTCCTCCAATCTGTTCATTCAATCGGGTGTTTTACTTGTGGAATTATCCTGGGCTGCCCTGCCCTGCCCTGCCCCGGGCTGCCCTGCCCTGCCCTGCCTGGGCTGCCCTGCCCCGGGCTGCCCTGGGCTGCCCTGCCCTGGGCTGCCCTGCCCTGCCCTGCCCCGGGCTGCCCTGCCTGCTGCCCTGCCCTGGGCTGCCCTGCCCTGGGCTGCCCTGCCCTGGGCTGCCCTGCCCTGCCCCGGGCTGCCCTGCCCTGCCCCGGGCTGCCCTGGGCTGCCCTGCCCTGGGCTGCCCTGCCCTGCCCTGGGCTGCCCTGCCCTGGGCTGCCCTGCCCCTGCCCTGGGCTGCCCTGCCCTGGGCTGCCCTGCCCCGGGCTGCCCTGGGCTGCCCTGCCCTGCCCTGGGCTGTGTGAAGGTACTGTGTGTTTGAGGGGTGGTGATGCTGGTGCTTATGGTGACGGGGTTGGGTGGGGGCGGGGGCGGGGGGTGGGGGAGGCTGGGGGTGGGGGCGGTGGGGAGAGTATGTGGATTCAGCGGGTCCAGGAGGTGATGTTACAGCCCAGGGTTGACTGGGGGTCAGTGCACTGGCCACTGCGTGTGAGTGATGAGACCTCATGCCAGGCGTGTGTGAGTGTGAGCTGGCACACTGTGAGTGTGTGTGTGTGAGTGTGTAAGCGTGAGCTGCTGTAACACTGCTGTCCCTCCCCGCAGCTCTCCAACTCCCGTTGGCCAATGACCCCGGCAGCCGATCAGCCTCATCAGAGACGTCCCCACAGCATCACCCCCACCCCCCCCGGCCCAGACACATGCTCAGCCTCCCGCAGCAGGTCTACCCCACACACAGGAGCATGGAGAGGTAAGGCCACAGGACACCCCTGGTACTGGGATGGGCAGAAGTCCCCGGGAGCCCTGGTTACCAGCAGTGAGTAGGAGCCCTGTAGATCAGTGGCAAGCGAGAGGACCCGGGTTTGATTCCCATGCGGGTCAGGGTGAAATGTTGGGCAAGTTTCCTTACTCCCCCCACCCACAAACACACCACACACACACACACACCACACACACACACACACACCCACACACACACCACACCCACACACACACACACACACACCACACACACACCACACCACACACACACACACAGGCGCACACGCCTCTGTTCACCCAGCAGTCAGTAGGAACCCGCTTGTTAGTCGATTGACGGATGGCTTTTCTGAGGGTAATAATCCCTTCCAAAGAATAATAATAATAATAATAAATCAGTCACTTCAACCCACGACTGTTTGTGGGGACGTCGCTGGGCGCGTTTGGCTGCCGCATTTCGCCCACAAAATACACAGTCACTACACTTTGTCCTGTGAGGCGCTTTGAGACGTCTCGAAGACGTGATCAGGCGCCGGGTCACACGCCAGGATTATTACTATTATTATTGTCGTTATTATGTGTGATGGGTTAACTTTCCCCTTTTGTTCACAGTATAGAGATCGATCAGAAGCTGCAGGAGATCATGAAGCAGACGGGGTACCTGACAATAGGAGGACAGGTAACAGCCTCTCTCCCTCTCCCCCTCCCTCCCTCCCTCTCTCTCTCTCTCTCTCTCTTTCCCTCCCCACCCCAGGAGTGAGGGAGGGATAGGGCAAGGCAGAGAGTTCCAGAGTTTTGGGGCGTAGTGTAGTGGCTGATGGTGGAGCATAGGGGACGACAAGGGAGGAACACGAGGGCGGAGTGGCTGAGGGTCCAGCTATAAGGGACGGAGCATTTTGCATTGACTGTAATCTCTCCCTCCCTTGTTCTCTCTCTCTCTCTCTCTCTCTCGCTCTCTCTCTTGCTCTCTCTCTCGCTGCAGAGATACCAGGCTGAGATCAGTGACCTGGAGAACCTGGGGGAGATTGGCAGCGGAACTTGTGGCCAGGTCTGGAAGATGAGGTTCAAGAAATCCGGCCACATCATTGCAGTGAAGGTATGTGGGCGGGCAGTGTGTGCGAGTGTGTGAGTGTGTGTGTGTGTGTGTGTGTGCGAGTATGTGTGTGAGTATGTGTGTGTGTGTGTGCGAGTGTGTGTGTGTGAGTATGTGTGTGAGTATGCGAGTATGTGCGTGAGTGAATGAGTGAGTGTGTGTGTGCGAGTATGTGTGTGAGTATGTGTGTGTGTGCGAGTGTGTGTGTGTGAGTATGTGTGTGAGTGTGTGCGAGTATGTGTGCGTGAGTGAATGAGTGAGTGTGTGTGCGAGTGTGTGCGAGAGTGAGTGAATGTGAGTGTGTGTGTTTTACTATTCACTGTAGTGTCAAATGCAAAGATTATTAGTATTATTATTACTATTATTATTATTATGTACGAACGAGGCTGAGCATTGCATTGTACGACGGTGACATGAACCGAGTCACATTTTTTTCTCTCTCTCTCTCTGTCGTGTTTTGTTTTTGTTTTTGTTTTTTGTTTCTGTTTTGAAGCAAATGCGTCGCTCGGGTAACAAAGAGGAGAACAAACGGATTCTGATGGACCTGGACGTGGTGTTGAAAAGTCACGACTGTCCTTACATCGTGCAGTGCTACGGCACCTTCATAACTAACGTGAGCTCTCGCGCCGAAACTCTTGCCGCTCTCTCTCTCTCTCTCTCTCTCTCTCTCTCTCTCACATCCTCCGTCTTGCCCCCTCTTCTCACCTCCCTGTTCGACTGTGTTTACGCTGTTTATTGCTGCCCCCCTGCGTGAGGGGCGCTGTGTAAACACAAGCTGCTGCTGTTGTCTGTTGTCGGTGACCGGTCTTGTTTCCTGTTTGACACCAGACTGACGTGTTCATAGCCATGGAGCTGATGGGCACTTGCGCAGAGAAGCTGAAGAAGCGGATCCAGGGGCCGATCCCAGAGAGAATCCTCGGGAAAATGACCGTTGCGGTAAGCCGGGGCTCGGGAGAGGAAGCCCACCCGAGGCCTGACAGCGAGGCCTGGGCTAAGTTCCAAAGGCTTCCAAGTCACAACCACCAACAATACACAGTCCATAGGCCATAATACTGCAGGAGTGGAGGGTGTTGCCTCGCAAGCCAGAGGACCCGGGTTCAATTCCCAGGCAGGTCAGGTCAGGGCAAAACCTGAGGCACGTTTCCTTACTACATACACACACACCACAACACACACACAGACACTCAATCCACGGCTGTTTGTGGGGACTCTGCTGCGTGCAATTGGCTGCCACGTTTCACCCACACTTTACAGTGTTTCCTGTGAAGCGTCTTTGAGACGTCTCGACGACGTGATCTGGCGCCGGGTCAAATGCCAGGATTATTATTATTATTATTACTTTGATCCCAATCCTCAGGGGATGTGTCAGTAATAATATAATAATAATGATGATATGATGATAATTCTGATTATGGTCGAGGCTCTAACCATTGAGCCACAGGACAACACAGTGTAATGAGCTGATTGTGTCTGATCGGTACCTTCTCCTTTGCCCAGATCGTCAAAGCTCTTTTCTACCTGAAGGAGAAACACGGAGTCATCCACAGGGACGTCAAACCCTCCAACATCCTGCTGGACGAGCGAGGGGAGATCAAGCTGTGTGATTTCGGGATCAGCGGGAGGCTGGTGGACTCCAAAGCCAAGACCCGCAGTGCTGGATGTGCAGCATACATGGCAGTGAGTCCTGGCTCTTTCCTCCCGGCGGCAAAGGCACTGGCTCCCAAATCACCCCTCATTTCTTGCCCGGCTTCGCTGGCTCCCCATCCCCCAGAGAATCGGGTACAAAACCCTTCAAAGACCTCCATCGCCTTGCTCCATTGGCAGTCGGGCCTTCAGTACCTCTGCCCCTACACTCTGGAATCTCTATCCCCCAATCCCTCCGCCTCGCCCCCTCTCTTGCCTCCTTCAAGTCCCATCTAGACTTTCCTCTTCGACTGCGCCTTCGGGCATCCTCCCACCCTCATCCCCCACCACCACCCCTCTCCTGACCCCGAGCCTGACTGTCCAGCGCCTTGGGACATCCACTTGATGTCATGTGTTTGTTGTTGTTGTTGATCCACACCAATCTCTCTCTCTCTCCGCAGCCTGAGAGGATAGACCCCCCTGACCCCAGTAAACCAGACTACGATATCCGAGCTGACGTGTGGAGCCTGGGAATATCACTGGTGAGGAAATCGGTGGCCGAGCCTTCAGTCACAACACCCCATTACTCTGTCGCTCCCTCCCTCAATCCCTCCCTCTCCCCCTGTCTCACTGTGTGGCTTAGACCCAGGTGGGAGGGAGGGGAGGAGGGGGTCTCTCTTTACATGTCTGTCAGTAGGCCTCGGGGTCTGTCATTGTGGAACAGGCTGCGTGGGCTGAATGGCTTCTCCTGTTCCTATGTTCCTGGGTAAATAAGGGGGAGAATTCTCAGTTTGTCTATGTACTGAGATCACTGAATAGCTTATCACACACTCTCTCTCTCTCTCTCCCTCTTTCCTTCTCTCCCCCACTCCCTGACTCCCCCTCTCTCCTCTCACCCTCACTTTCTCCCCTTCTCTCTTTCCCCTCCTCCCCTCTCTCCTCCCCTGATTCTCTCTCTACCACCCTCGCACTTTCTCCCCCTTCCTGTCCCTCACACTCCCTCTCCACCCTCACTCTCTCCCTCTCCTCCCTCCCCCTTGCTCTCTCTCCCTCTGTCTCTCTCTCTCTCTCTCTCTCTCCCCCTTGCTCCCTCTGTCTGACTGTCTGTCTGTGTGTTTGTCTCTCTCTCCCTCTCTCCCTCCCCCCACCCTCTCCCCTCGTTCCCCCCCGGGGCAGGTGGAGTTGGCCACAGGGCAGTTTCCGTATAAAAACTGTAAGACGGACTTTGAGGTGCTGACCAAGGTGCTGCAGGAAGAGCCTCCATTACTGCCTCAGACCATGGGCTTCTCCCTGGACTTTCAATCCTTCGTCAAAGATTGGTGAGTGATTCCTCGGCCGTGAGCCCAACAACAACAACAACAACAGCCGCTTGCATTTACACCGTGTCCCTCACGCAGGGCAGTGTCCCAGAGCGTTGGGCACGGGCGGAGCAGCGGAGAACTCACACACACAACAGCAACGAGACATTTGTGGAGTCCCTGTAGCTCAGGGTTAGACCCCACTCGCCTCGCAAGCCAGAGGACCAGGGTTCGATTCCCGGGAGGGTCAGGACAGGGCGAAACCTTAGGCAAGTTTCCTTACTCCACAACAGACACACACAGACACAGACACACACACAGACAAACAGACACACACAACACACACATAGACACACACACACACATAGACAACACACCACACACACATAGACACACACAGACAAACAGACACACACACACATAGACACCAACACACACATATAGACACACCACACACCACATAGACACACCACAGACAGACACACACACGCCTTCTGTTACCAGCAGTAAATAGGAACCCGGTTGTTAGTCCGATCGATGGATCGCTTTTTCTGGGGTAATAATTCTTTTTAAAAAAAAAATAATAATTTGGTCCCTTCACTCCACGGCTGTTTGTGGGACAGACGCTGCTTTGTGCAATTGGCTGCCGGTGTTTTCGCCCACAAAACATACAGTCACTAAACTTTACAGTGTATCCTGTGAAGCGCTTTGAGACATCTCAACGACGTGATAAGGCGCTGTATCAAATGCCAGGATGATTATTGTTAGTGTGTAATAGCCAGTCAGGCTAACACAACCTCTCACTCTGGGAGGTAATGTGACAGCAGAGATATTGAATTAATTAAAGCTCTGAAGTAGGGTTAGGATATTTGCCGTTCGTCACTGAAGCTCTGGGATTTGTATTTATATCACATTAAAAGTACAAGAGAAACTATTTCCTCTGGCGGTGGTGGTGGGGTGGGATCCAGAACAGAGGGTGCGTCATCTTAAAATTAGAGCCAGGCCATTTAGGGGTGAAATCAGGGGCAGTTTTTCACACAAAGGCAGTGGAAATCTGGAATTTCTCCCTGTGGATTGTGGTTGGATCCATTCACGTTGTCAAGACTGAGGTGGACAGATGTTTGTTAGATCGGGGATCAAGGGATACCGGGCAAAGGTGGGGAATTGGAGTTGAGGTACAGATCATAGAATAGAATGGCGGAACGGGCTCGAGGGGCTGAATGGCCTCCTCCTGTTTTCTGTGTAAGTGTCAATAGGGTACAAACTGGTCCGTGTTTGTCCATCTTCTAACCACTTTGTGTTTTTATCCTTGTCCCCCCCCCCTCACTCGCCTCCTCACAGCCTCACAAAAGATCACAGGAAAAGACCAAAATACAACAAACTACTTGTGAGTATTGAAGCGTCTTTATTTTTACCAAAACCTGTCTCCAGCTCCGCAGCCCCTCA